CCTACTACTACTACTACTACTACTACTACTACTACTACTACTACTACTACTACTACTACTACTACTACTACTACTACTACTACTACTACGACTACGACTACGACTTACGACTACGACTACGAACTAACGACTACGACTACTACTACTAACTACTACTACTACTACTAAACTACTACTAACTACTACACTACTACTACTACTACTACTACTGACTACTACTACTACTAATACTACTACTACTGTACTACTACTACTACTACGACTACTGACTACTACTACTACTATACTACTACTATGCTACTACCACTACTACTACTACTACTACTACTACTACTACTACTACTACTACGACTACTACTACTACTACTACTACTACCACTACCACTAGTAACTGCTGCTACTACTACTACTACTACTACTACTACTAAAACGAGGACGACGACGTCGACGACGACAACGACTACTACTGCTACTACCTACTACTAGAGCTACTACGACTACGACTACGACTACGACGACGACGACTACGACTACTACTACCACTACTACTACTACTACTACGACTACCACCACTACTACTACTACTACTACTACTACTACTACACACTACTACTACTACTACACTAACTACTACTACTACTACTACTACGGCGACCACTACTACCAATAATAATACTACGACGACGACGACGACGACGACGACTACTACTACTGTTACTATTACTACTACTACTACTACTACTACTACTACTACTACGACCAATTCTACTACTACTACTCCTACTACTACTACTACTACAACTACTACTACTACTTCGACTACTACTACTACTACTACTACTACTACTACTGCTACTACTACTACTACTACTACTACTACTACTACTACTACTACTACTGCTACAGCTACTACTACTACTACTACTACTACTACTACTACTACTACTACTGCTACTGCTACTGATACTGCTACTACTACTACTACTACTACTACTACTACTACTACTACTACTACTACTACTACTACTACTACTACTACTACTACTATGATTCTGGGCAGCCGTGGGACCAGGTTAAGCAGGACCCGATAATGATCTGTACCGCGGCGCGGTACCGCACAGCGCCTCCCCCCACCGCCCCCCGCGACTCTCTTCTTCCCTCTGCATGCCTCTGTCCGTACCTTCCTCCAGATTCCTCCTCCTTCTCCTCCTCCTTCTCCTCCTGCTCGCCCCAGTGAAGCTTCGTTTCTGTTCCGATCTCGATTCCCCCTCCACACCCCATCTTCGTAGTCGTCGTCGTCGTCCTCAGCCCCCGGCAACCTGCAGGAAAAGGAGCAGGAGCAGGAGCACGAGACGTCGCCGCCGCCGCCGTCGCCGTCGTCCCCCCCCAGGCGGACTGCCCCAGCTCCACCGACTCGGCGTAGCGCAGGTCGATGCGGCCCAGCGGCATGCCGCCGGGCCCGGGGGGCGGCCCGCCGAGACCGTCTGGCTCCTCGCCGTCGTCACCGGGCGACGTCGGCGACGGGATGTGCGTCGGGGACGCGAGCTCCCCGCGCGCGCCGTCGACGCCCGGCACTGGCAGGTCCCGCACGTCCATGTCGTCCGGGGCGAGCGACGTGGGCGAGGGCACCTGAGGGAGGAAGAGAGAAGGGCCTCGCGCGCGATGGCAGAGCGACCCTACGCCGCGGCTTCCGCGGGCTGCTGGCACGGCACGCTGCACTGGAGACGAGGGCGCGCAGGCTGGGCCTTCTACGCGGGAAGCCTGCCCGCCCACGCCGGTGAAGGCGACCCCGTTCTTCGGCGTCGCTCGCCTGGGTCGGCACGGGCATCTCCGTCGGCGACGACGGGTCCAGCGGCGGCGCGGCGGGCGCGGCGAGCAGCCCCTGCCCCGGCCTCGGCGGAGGCACCGCGGCAACGTCGCCCCCACCTGGAGACCGCGGCGAGGACGGCGCGGGCGACGTGGGCGCGGGCACCTCCGTGGGGCTCGACACCTCCTGGCGCTCGGCCATGTGGGGCGCCATGCGCGGCAGCACCCCCCGGAGGGCGTCCAGGAGCTCCGGGGCGCTCGGCCCGGCGGAGGGGGCCGGCGAGGTGGGGGCGGGCACCTCCTGGGGCGACGCGGGCGGCGGCTGGGTGGGCACCGGCAGCTCCGTGGGGGAGCCCACCTGTCGAGGGGCCCAGGGCGACACAGATAGGTAGACACAGATTCCAGGCTGCCCCACATCAGAGGTCTCCGAAGTGGGGTCGGAGTAGATGAGGTCGGAGGATCGCGCCGCATCGCCGATACATCGGCGATGTAGCGGCGATGCATCGGCGATGCACCAGCGAAGCATCGGCGACTTCGGCGATGCATCGGCGATGCATCGGCGCCATCGGCGTTGAGAACATCGGGCTCCATATCGAGCCGCATCGCCGATGCATCGGCGATGCGGCGCGATCCTCCGACCCCATCTACTCCGACCCCGTCTGGGAGGCTTAGACATCGTGTTCCAAATCCTCTGGACTTTCGGCTCCCCCTCCGTGTCCCATACCGCTCCCTGCCTTTTCGGGGAGACGGACGCCGGTCTGTGCCCGTGTCTGTGCTCTCCTCCCGGGCACCTGCCCGATCTCCGCGACCCCGAGGCCCAGGTCCAGGTCCCCCAGCCCGTCGGTGGGCGCCGGGGAGGTGGGCAGGCGCACGCCGACCTCCTCCTCGTCCTCTAGAGGAAAAAGAACTATGCACATACACCGATTCTGGCCAGACCCATCCTGAGCCCAGGATCGGTGCATACGCCCTCCTACCTTGGCCAGGAAGGCATATGCACCGATTCTGGGTCAAGGATGGGCGTTGTCAGGATCGGTGCATGTGCGTATTTCTCTTCGCCCGATCCTCCGGCAGGTGGGCGACGGCCGACGCCAGGCCGCCGTCCGAGGCCGGGGTGGTGGGCACGGGCAGCTCCAGCTCCGCGAGGCGGGCGGCGCCCGCGGGCCGCGCGGCTCCCGGCGGCGGCAGGCCGAGGTCGCCCCCGAGGTGCAGCTCGTCGCCCGCCTCCGTGGGGACGGGCACCTCGGCAGGCGAGGGGGGAGCAGAGGGAGCAGCATTCGGGGTTGGACAGACCCCCCTTTAGTAAAACGTGGTTTAGTGAAAACGACCTGAGGCCCACACCTGGCGGGCGCAGACCTGGAAAATAACGGCCACGGCGCCCCCTCGAGAACCGAAAACGGACAATTCACTAATCGACGTGTCACTGTTGGGGGTTCTGTCCACCTCCGAAGCATCGGGAGGGCGAGGGCGGCGTCGAGCAGAGCAGCGACGGACGGACGCGGCGACGACAGAAGCCGACGCCGAGGACGACGACGACGACCATCTTGCGAACTGACAAGCTGCGTGGACCCTCACTTGGTTTGTCCCTTCACAGCTTCACCCACCCAAAAGATGTCTATGAACCATCCCCCTTCTTTGGGGACTGCTTTCCATACAAGCTTCTGGGAGAAGCAGTCAGCAATGCACTCTGTGTGCACACCACGCCGACATGGCCGTCGTTGTAACGCGCACGCGGGCAGCTCACCAACTTGAGTGAACTTCCGTGAGATCTCGGGAGAGAGCGCCGTTCCTGAGCTTGGGGGCCGCAGGGGCGTCTCAGAGTAATATGTGAGGAAGTATCGAGCGGAACCCCAGTGTCGTCGTAGCCGGGCTTTCACCAAATCGAGCGAATTTCGAGGATTTGAGCGACATTCCAGGGCGCGACGATGCACATGACCAGGGCGCGCGCGAGCACATTACAAAGAAGAATCGCGCAGGAGCCGTTGTGAATCGAAAGAGTTGCGAGGAAAACTCGGGCGAGAGCGCCGTTCCTGAGTTCGGGGGCCTCTCTGGCGAGGGCGTCTGAAAGTAAATTGTGAGGGAATATCAAACAGGAGCCGTTGTCGTCGTAGCAGGGCCTTTCATGAAGTTGAGTAACTCGCGAGGGAGTCTCGAGTGAGAGCGCTGTTCCTGAGTTTGGGGGCCTCTCTGGTCAGGGCGTCTTTGGGTAATTCTCGAGGACGTATCGAGCGGGAGCCGTTGTGTTCGTAGCCGGGCCTCCAGAGACTCACATTTGAGGTCAAGCCCGCGCTCGAGCAGGAGCCTTGGTTCCGAAGAACATGTCAGCTAGCTGCGTCGAAGCGAGAGCGCCCACAGTCGGTCTCATTCCCGCAAAACGATCGCACTCCCCTGCGACCAACGGTGGTGACACTGAAAATGCACCACGCGAACCCAGAGCCACGCAAGGACCAGGCTGCAACAGGCGAGCCCGTACGCGAAACCTTGGCTTGTGCAGCACAGCGGAGCCAGACTGTAATGAGGACGAGGCCGAGGACGAGGAGGGAGAGGGGCAGCGTGGGTCCCGACAGCGACTGTCATGCACATCGCACACCACCTGCTTGGAGGGGCGGCAATGCGGGCGGCCATCCGTTCCCATAGACCAGCAGCGATTATTACCTCGGCACGAGTGTCCAACGACGACGACGACGACGCCGCAGAACCGCCGACCTCCGCGCCGCCCCCCGTGCCGTCGAAGGGCCCGCCGAGGGCCCGCCGAGGGCGCGTCGAGGGCACGGCGAGGGCCCACCGACCGAGGTCCCGCCGAGGGCCTCCCGAGGGCCCGCCGAGGGCCCGACGAGGACTCGACGAGGGCCCGCCGATGGCGACCTCCTCCTCCTCCTCCTCCTCCTCCCCTCCTCCTCCTCCCTCCTCCTCCTCCTCCTCCTCCTCCTCCTCCTCCTCCTCCTCTCCTCCTCCCTCCTCCCTCCTCCTCCTCCTCCTCCTCCTCCTCCTCCTCCCTCCTCCCTCCTCCCTCCTCCCTCCTCCACCTCCTCCCTCCTCCCTCCTCCTCCACCGCCACACGCCAGGCCCATCCTGGGCCCGGGAGAGGCGTGCGCGCCTCCCTTCCCCGGGCCAGCAGGGCGTGTGCACATGTGTGCACCGCTCCCGGGCCCAGGGTGGGCAGGGCCAGTGGCGGTGGAGAGGCTGTGTGGAGATCCGGTCGCCCGGCCGCCGAGGGCTCGCCGAGGGCTCGCCGAGGGCACGCCGAGGGCTCGCCGAAGGCTCGCCGAGGGCCGCCGCCCAATAGAAGGAGAAAAAGCGGCATAGACAGCATGAAACAGTTGGCGCTCCACGCGGAGTTCTTGTAGCTGCGCTGGACCCCCCTCCCTGGCGCGCGGAGCGCGCCAGGGGCGGCGCTGGAGGCGCCGCCAGGGGGTCCAGCGCGATCCAAGAAATCCGCGCGGAGCGCCAACAGTTTACGTTTATGTCGTTGGTTCTTCTTCTTCTTCTTATTATTATTAGTATTATCATTATTATTATTGTTGTTATTATTATTGTTGATATTATTATTATGAGTATGTTTCTTCTTCTAATCCTTATGACTAGTATTCTTATCAGTATTATTATCATTACTGGTAGTAGTATTCCGCTTGAAGCGCAAAGTTCTCATGTCCCAGCGCCTTACTTGGCTTTGGGGATATGGCAGCTGACGCGGCTCTCTACTTTTCTCTCCTTCTCTGGGCTCCCTATTTGCTTCTCCTTCTCTGTCTTTCATGGTCCGAAGAGGGCCCCTTAGGTTTCCAAGATGGCCCCAAGAGGCGCCCAAGGGGCTCCAGAAAACCCCCTATCGGCTTCCAAAGACTCCCAATCGGTTTCAAAGAGGCCATCTAGAGGCCTCAAGAGCCTCTCCCCCCCCCCCCCCAGAGGCAGCCAAGACGCTTCAAGAGGCTCCCGGGACTGCCAAGAGACACCAAAGGCGCCCCAAGAGGCCTCCAAGAAGCGAGGGCCCCAAGAGGCGATTTTTACGGTCCCAGGGGACGGGGCTAAAATCCCACCAGCCTTTCAGGGCGTGAGTGGTTTGATACCCCCCTCTTTCAACTCCCTTCTTCCTCTTCGGTACCCCCTCCCCCTGGACCTGGACGGGGCCTTTCGCGAGCAGTCAGAGCGTCCAAGATGGCCCAAGATGGCTCCAAGAAGGCCCCAAAGAGCTAAAAATGGCCTCCAAGATCGCTGAAGATAACCCAAAATCCGCCGGCCCCCTTGTGGGGCCACCAGGCTGCAGGCCCGTGATTCGCAGTTTCCTGTGCCAGTTGTAGTTTGTAGTTTCCAGTGTTGCAGTTCTGCTTCTTGCTGGTTACTGTAACTAGTTGATTGACCGCGCGAGGGGAGGGAGGCCCAAACCAGATTTTTAACACCACCTGGGCGCGTTGTCTGAATTGCTGGGGGGGCTCAAAATCATCACCCCTCACGCAGATCCGCGGGGTCAGGGTCCAAAAACACAGGGGATTTGCCACATTTCTGAAATTCGGTGCCGCCCCTCACGCAGATCCGCGGAGTCAGGGTCCAAAAACACAGGGGATTTGCCACATTTCTGAAATTCGGTACCACCTCTCACGCAGATCCGCGGGGTCAGGGTCCAAAAACACAAGGGATTTGCCACATTTCTGAAATTCAGTGCCACCCCTCACGCAGATCCGCGGGGTCAGGGTCCAAAAACACAAGGGATTTGCTACATTTCTAAAATTCGGTGCCACCCCTCACGCAGATCCGCGGGGTCAGGGTCCAAAAACAAAGGGGATTTGCCACATTTCTGAAATTCGGTGCCACCCCTCACGCAGATCCGCAAGGTCAGGGTCCAAAACCTGCTCTTCCATTGCCCATTCTCCGAGAGAGGGGGCCGGCGGCAGGGGGCGAAGCCCTTACGGATTGCGAAATCCGCCGACCCTGTCGGCGTGTGGAAGACGCATCCCGGTGTCGTCGTCTTGCGTGGATCACCGTCGTCGTCGTCGTCGTCTCCGTCGTGTCCTCGTCGTCTCCGTCTCCGTTGTCCCTCGTCGTCTTCGTCGTTCCCCGTCTCCTTGAGCGCGCGAGCCAAAGCGACATTGAGCAACGTCGTAGTTGAGTCGTGGCGAAGCCCCTCCCTACCCTCCCCGCCGGGGGGGGGGGGGTCGCCGGGGGGGTCCCCGGGGGGGGTCGCCACCCAGATACGCATCCTCCCCGGGGGGTCCCGGAGCTCAGAAAAGCTTCAAGACGAGCCAAGAGCGACAGAAGACACCCCCAAAAGGGTACAAGAGGGCCTCGACTCGACGAACGATGGCCCCAAGACGCCCAAGACGGCCCGAAGACGGCCCAAGAGGCCCTCAAGACGCTCCAAGAGAGCCCCAAGAGCACTCCCAAGAGGGCCCCAGGAGCCAAAATCGTCAATTTTACATCGGTTTTTTAATGATTTTGGCCTTCTCGCCTTTTCGGCTTCCCGACACTCCAAGACGGCCCAAGAAGCCCCCAAGAGGCCCCCAAGAGCGCACCAAGAGGCCTACAAGAGGGCCCCAAGACGGCCCAAGAAGGCCCCAGGAGAGCCCAAGAGGCGCCCAAGACGGCCCAATAGGGCCCCAAGACGGGCCCAAGAAACGGCCAAGAGGGGGACGAGGAACCGAGAATTCGAGACTTCCGCCCTCAGAGGCCCCCGGGAAGCCCCAAGAGGCCCCCAAAAGGCCCCAAGAGGCCCCCGAGCGGCGCCAAGACGCCCCCAAGATGCGCCGAAGACGGCCTCCGGAAGCCCCAAGAGGCCCAAAAGAGGCCCCAAGAGGCCCCACAACGGCCCCCAAGAGGCTTCAAGTTGCCTTCCAGACGCCCCCGAGAGGTCAACCACGAGATCCCAACCAACATCCATAAGGCCTCCTCCTCCTCCCCCTTCACCCTTCCTCCTCCTACTTCCTTCCGCCTCCTCCTCCTCCTCCTCCTCCTCCTCCTTCTCCTGCCCCCCCCCTCGTGTTGTCTTTCGTCATCTTCAGGGTCGGCGACAACGGCCGTAAGGCCTTCGCAATATAACTTGCAACAGACCTCCAAGAGGCTTCAGGTCCCTCCAAGACGGCTCTAAAAGGCCAAAGGGCCTCCCAAGGACGCCCTGGAGAGGCCAACAACCGTCCAAAACCTAATAGAAATTGATGTTTGTGGTTGCCTTCTCGCCTTTTCGCTTCCGATGGGCTTCTGAAGCCTCGAGATGGCTCCGGGATGAACCCAGAGGTCGCCAAGACCGGTTCAAGAGAGGCCGAAGACGGCCCCAAGAGCGCCCAAGAGCGCCCCAAGAGCGTCACAAGAGAGCTCCACGAGGCGATTTTGAGGGTTCCGACGGGGGGATCCAAATAGATGCCGCCTTCTTTGTTGGTCAATGGCCTCCAAGATGGCCCAAGAGAGGCCCAAGAGGGGCCCCAGACGGCTCCAAGATGGCTTCAAGAGCGCCCCGAGAGGCCTCCAAGAAGCCGAAACCCTTCTGAAACCTCAATCCGCCAGCCCAACGGGCCAGAGGCGTGCTGAAATCTCCGGTAGCTGGAAAACGATACTTCTAGTTCGCGCGCGTGGGCCGGCCCCTGAAGTCCCCGGACGATACGTCCCCCGGCAAGGGCTCGGCAAAATCCGCCCAAGGATGCCGGAACTCCCCTGGGCGGTTTTCCAGGCCCCCAGAGCGCTCCACGACGGCCTCAAGAGGCCCCTAAGACGGTCCAAAAGGACCCCCAGGCGCTCAGACCGATCGCGGCCATCGCGCAACGGATGCGCCATAGGTTGCGCCCTCGGCGGCCGAGAAAAAAAAAAAAACATCGCGTAACGGTCCCTGGACCTCTCCAAACCGTTCTCGTCTCGCACGCGGAGTCCAAAGCTGAAACTAGAACGGCAAAGCTGCTACGCCAGACAAGCTGCAACGCCAAAAACTGCAATGCAGCAAAAAAACACAATGCAAAACAAATTGTAGTGCAACAAAAACTGCAATGCTAAAAAAACGTGTAATTCTGATCATGGTGGTTGGCGCCGTGGGCTTCAGACCCTCCCTGGACCTCCCCAAACCGCTCTCGCCTCGCACGCGGAATCTAAAGCTGAAGCTAGAACGGCAAAGCTGCAATGCAAACAAAAACTGCAATGCAACGAAAACTGCAATTCTGATCATGGTGGTTGGCGCCATGGGCTTCAGACCCTCCCTGGACCTCCCCAAACCACTCTCGCCTCGCACGCGGAATCCAAAGCTGAAGCTAGAATGGCAAAGCTGCAATGCAAAAAAAGATGCAATGCGAAACAGACTGTAAGAAATGCTATACAACAAAAAACAGGGATGCAACATAAACTGTAGTTATGATCATGGTCGTTGGCGCCGTGGGCTTCAGACCCTCCCTGGACCTCCCCAAACCACTCTCGCCTCGCACGCGGAATCCAAAGCTGAAGCTAGAACGGCAAAGCTACAATGCAAAAAAAACTGCAATGCAAACATGACGTGTAATTCTGATCATGGTGGTTGGCGCCGTGGGCTTCAGACCCTCCCCGGACCTCTCCAAACCGCTCTCGCCTCGCACGCGGAATGATCATGGTCGTTGGCGCCGTGGGCTTCAGACCCTCCCTGGACCTCCCCAAACCACTCTCGCCTCGCACGCGGAATCCAAAGCTGAAGCTAGAACGGCAAAGCTGCAATGCAACAAAAACTGCAATGCAAAACAAACTGTAATTCTGATCATGGTGGTTGGCGCCGTGGGCTTCAGACCCTCCCTGGACCTCCCCGAAACGCTCTCGCCTCGCACACATCTCGCCTCGCCTCGCACGCGGAATCCAATGTTGAAGCGTAAGCTCAATCCTCAACCTTTCGTTTTGATGCTTGGCGTCCCGCCGTGCGCTACAACGGCTAAGAACTTGATTAGTATAAATAGTATGTCCATTCTGAGTATTACTATTCTTCTTACTGCTAGTATCAGTATTCGTAGTATAACAAGTATTAGTATTACTCTTCTGCTTCTTCTTCTAACTTTCATCGTAACATGTTTCTTGTTACGATTCGTTTTAGTATGCTTCTTCGTCGTAGTCTTAGCACGCTTTGAATTATTACTATCCGTCTTCTTCTTCCAGTCCGAGGCAAGCGGCGGCAGCGCGGCGCCTCGGTGGGCGAGCTGGGCGGTAGCAGCGGCTCGTGGGCCACGCCAGGCGGCAGCCGCGAGGCCGCGGAGGAAGCGACCGTGGTGGGCGGCCGCAGGGACCTGGACGACGGCATCGCCAGCGAGGGCAGCGCCGCGGCGGCCTCGGACACCGGGGACGTCGGCGCTGGAATCTCCTTTGGGAGGCCAGATGGGTTCTCTCTCTCTCTCTCTCTCGAGGAGGAGGAGGAGGAGGAGGAGGAGGAGGAGGAGGAGGAGGAGGAGGAGGAGGAGGAGGAGGAGAGGAGGAGGAGGAGGAGGAGGAGGAGGAGGAGGAGGAGGAGGGGGAGGAGCTGTGCGCGGCAGGCGCAGGGCCGCGGCAGCGCCAGTCGCGCGGAAAAGGGTGCCGAAGGCGGACGTGAAGGGAAGCGCACGAGCATGCAGTTTTCGGACGTCCGTGGACGGCTTGTGGGAACCGCGCGTCAGTGCACCAAGGTCGAGGCTGGGGGGTGAAATCGCAGTGGGACGGAGAACCCCCCACCGGGAATTCGGTTTCGTTCATGACATGCGTGCGGGCGAGGCGAAGCTGCGTGCGCGCGCGAAAGGAATGATCCTGTCGTCGCTAGGGCGATTCGGATGCGCAAGTCAGCCCTCCGCTGGGCGCGCGGTGGCTGGGGGTGTCCCGCCGTGGTGCCCCGCGCTGTCCCGATGGTGTCCCGCGGTGTTCCGCCGTGGTGTCCCGATGGTTTCTCGTGGTGTCCCGTGGTGTCCCGATGGTGTCCCGCGGAGTCCCAGTGGTGTCCCGCGGCGTCCCGTAGTGTCCAGTGGTGTCCCGCGGTGTCCGGCGGTGTGCCGCCGAGGTGCCCCGATGGTGTCCCGATCGATAGTGAAATCGATCGTGAGATCGATAACGACCGAGATATGGCGAGTGGCAGTGAGATCGAACGTTGGGTCGATAGTGAGATCCACAGTGAGATCGGTAGATGTGGCGACAGTGCGAACGGCAGCGATATCGATAGTGAGACCGATAGTTGCATCGATGATGCAATCGATAGTGAGGTCAATAGTGCGATCGATTGCGAGATCAACAGTGAGATCGATGCTAGGATCTAGTGTGGCTCGACTGTGAGATCGATCGAGATCGCTTCAGATATCGAATGTGTAATCGATAATGGGATCCGCCGAAGGAGATCGATCGTACATTCGATCGTAAAATCGATGGTGAGATCGACTGTGGGATCGATAGCGAGATCCGTTAAGTGAGATCGATCCTGATATTCGCTGTGACATCGACCAAGTGACATCGGTAAGCAGATCGACTGTGGGATCGGTTCAGTGGGCTCTCCGGGCTCCAGCCTTGGCGACCACTCCTCGCATTGCAGCCACCGCGGCCTTTGCGATGCACTGCCGCGGCCACTGCCACCATGGCTACCGCAGCTGCGTCTCCCAGGCAGGCACCCCACGCACGACGCCTCTGCTTCCCGGTGCCACGGTGTGCGTGGGCGTCGCCCGCCTCGGCCGCCACAGTCAGCAGGCACAGCCAGCGCGGCGCATGTGGCGGTGGCACCGAGTTGGCTCGATGGTTCCCCGATGGTGTCCCGATCGTACCCAGCGCCACTCAGTGGGAGATCGCAAACGGGATCGATCGCTGGGTCCATCGAGACTGAGATTGGCCGATGGGTCGACAGTGAGATCGATCGAGTGAGATCGATGGCGGGGCCGATGGTGACATCACATCGCGGCGCAACATCGTCATCACGCATCGTCGCCAACTCGAGGGCGCGTCACCAGCATCGTCATCATCACACCCATCGCAGTTGCTAGCAATTGGTCTTTTCCCCTCCCACCAGCCTCCTTATCACCCGAAGGGTGGTCGTACAGGTATGGTGTACAATTTCCCGACCGATTCTCCGGGCGACACAGGTTGACAAAAACCTTGAGAAACCCATGAGCCCGTAACGGAATGTAAGTCAAAGGAACTGCTGAGGCCTGGTCACCTACAACAGCCCTGGATACGAGCTTTTACTGGGAAAATTGCGCCAAATCCATGCGAGAAGAAACGCGGAAATTTCATTTCAAAACTTATACCGCATGCATGTTCGAGATCTTCTGGCCAGAATTTATCCCTACCTATTTCCTCTGGTTTCGCACCGTGCCGCGTGCGGTGCCGCAGTGCCACGTGCCGTGCCGTGTGCCGTGCTGTGCGCCGTGGGCCGCGTGGCGTGCCGTGCGCCGAGTGCCGCGTGCCGTGTGCCGCGCCGCGCTGTGCCGTGCGTCGCACGCGCCTCCCCCCGCAGCCTTGACCTGCCGGCGAGAGTGCCACGGAGAGGACGCGTGCGACCACCTCTTCCCGGGGCCTCCGAGATCTGGAACTCGGAAGTGGGGGAGCTTGCGTCGAGGAGAAGGGGAGCTGGAGGACGCGCGTGACCACCTCTTCCTGGAGCCTCCGAATCTGGGAAGGGGCGCTGCGCCGCGGGGAAGGGGAGGTTGAGGGCACGTGTGACCACCTCGTCCCTGGGCCTCCGAACTTGGGATTCGAAGGTGGGGGGCGCTTGCGTCGTGAAGTGGGCGGTCACGTCGTCGTCGCTCGTGGGGAGGCGAAGCGCCCCCCCCCGACACCATGTTGGATATCCGACGCCCGATCTCCGGCACCTCATTGTTCTGAGGATATCTCGGGCGAAAACCTCCCTTTTGAGAACCAGCGTCGCTCCAACAAGTCCCCCGACGGCCCCATTGTGTGAGGACGTCTCAAGAGAGACGCCCCCCATCTATTGTTGGATATCCGACGCCCGATCTCCAACATCTAAGTTTGTCTGAAGATTTCTCAGGCGAAAGCCTCACTTTTGAGAACCAGCGTCGTAAAACAGTTCCTCCGACATCCCCATTTTGTGAAGGTTTCTCAAGCAAGACGCCCCCTCACACCATGTAGGATATCCGGCGCACGATCTCCAACATTTCATTGTTCGGAGGATGTCCCGAGCGAGAGCTTCACTTTTGAGAGCAAGCGTCGCTCCAACAAATCCTCCGACATCTCTGTTTTGCGAGGATATCCCAGGCGAAGCGCCCATGGCGACACCATGTTGGATATCCGACGCCCGATCTCAACTTTCAAATTATCTTAGGAAGTCTCATGCCCAGCCGAAGCGTCGCTCGCAACATCCCCTTTTCGTGAGGATGTATCAGGCGAAACTCATCCTCATCCTTCTCGTCACCCCTCTGGTCTGGGACCATAGGCCCGACACCACACAGAGAACCTTGGGCCCTTGACTAGGTGTGTATATATATAAAAACAAGACTGCATTGGCGCTTCGCGCCATGCACCTTGGTTCTTGAAGCTCGGCATGCAGGAGAGCCAAATATAGCGATGATTCATTGTTGCCGTTTGCGCCATCGTCGTTATAGTAATGTTATGTACTATCCTTATACTTCCTCTCCTCTTACTCGTAATCTTCCTTGTCTGCGAGCCACTCCTTGTCCTCATCCCCAGTTTTTATTGCAGGGGCTCCTCTTTGGAGGTGTTCCTGGGCCCCTCTCAAAAGCTTTTTGGGGACCTCTGGGGGCCTCCTGGGCGCCTTTTGGGGGCCTCTGGGGGCTTCTTGCGGCCACCTTGCTACCAACCACGGTCTCCCTGAACGACCGGGTCACGATTTGGAGTGCTTCGGGAGGCGTCTTGGGGCCATCTGGGGCTGTCAGCGGGGCTCTCTTGGGGCCATCTTGCGGCCCTGTTGGACCATATTGGGGCTCTTTTGGACTGTCTGGAAGCCCTTTGACACCGTTGTGGGAGGATTTTGGGGGCCTCTTCGGCGGACTCGGACGCACGGAGAATACCGAAGAACCGAATGTCCAAAAATTCCTTCTTTTTTCAAGGCAAAAAGAAGGAAAGGAAAGGAAAGTGTTGTTTTTTTGCACTTGGAGGACCTCTTGGGGGTTTTCTTTGGGTCGTCTTCGGGCGTCTTGGGGCTGTCTGGGGCCGCGTGGGGCTCTCGCGGGGCCGTTTGGCCGCCCTCCTGACCGCTTTGGGCCCGCTGGCAAGGCCCCGCAGGGGCGTCCAGGAGGCCCGGAAGGCCTGGGAGACCCCTTGCAAGGCGTCCAGGGGGCCCGAAAAGCGCCAGATCCCGGGGGTCCGATTTTCGGGGGGTGGGGGGGGTTCCCACCCCCCCGGATTGTAAAAATATAGAAAAGGGAATATGTTTAGGCACGTATATATAGTTATACACATGTATTCAAATCTGTGTAATCACACACATACATATGTTGATGCATCTATAAGAACATGTAAATATAAACGTATACATGTATATGTATACAAATGCATACACAGTACAACCACGCGCGCATTACCCGCACGCTAAGCGCAGTCATTCTGTGGACCTTGCCCAGGTAAAGGCCGCTCTTGGCGCGTGGAAGTGCTGGGCCTTCTGGGGGATAGCTTCGGGTTTGGTGGGCGGTCGCGGAACCGCGCGAGATCGACGTTCGACGCATCGAAAAAGCTCCGAACATTTCCCAGTCTGCGCAGGCGACGTGGATGCCACGGTGACCGAAGAGGGCCCCAGAGGCTCCGGGCCACCAGGCCGCCGCCGCCGCCGCAGCCACCGCCGTCGTCGTGATGATCGTCGCGGGAGTCGTAGTGGTGGTCGCGGTGGTGGCGGTGGTCGTCGCGTGTGGACGTGATCATACAATTGTAAGTTCTGGGGCGTGTTGTGCTTTACCGAAGCCTCCACCATATAGCTCCGGACTCTGGAGTTCTGTGGAGGCCGCCGGCCGTCGTCGGTCAAATGTCGTCGTCGTTGCGGTCGTCGTCAGACCTCTGGAGGCCGCCGGGGCTCCTCGTCGTCACTGTCGTCGTCGCCGTGGTCGTCGTGGTTGTGGTCATGGTCGTGGTCGTCGTTGTCGCCGCCGACGTCGTCGCAGTCGTCTACGATTGAGGAGGGAAAGTGAGGGATCCAGGGTCGAGGATCGAGGTTTGCAAATTATCTTGGACCTTCTTGGGCCTCGCGGGGTGGCTTTCGTCGCCGCGGTTGCCCAGGACCTGGGGGTTCCGCCAGCGCTCGTCCAGCGTGCGGGCTTTGGCCGCCGCCGCCGCTACAGCCGCGGCTGGCGTCGTCGTCGTCGTCGCCATCGCCGTCGACTCTGCGCGCTTTTGCGCGGGTTTGGATGTGGTTGGCCCTTCCGTAGTCTCCCGTGCCAGAACTCGGGG